GTCTGCCAGGCATTCCAGTGTCCGTCTGCCAGGCATTCCAGTGTGTACTTGCACATACTTCCTCGTCGAGGCTACTAGAGAGAGATAATGGCTATCAGGTAAATTCAGGTATATCGAAATCTACCACCACCACTGCTAGTTCACCACCAACCTACACCGTCATTCCCCAAGCGCTTTGACTGGTTGGTACCGCTGCGGCCTCGCTTCTTGCAGACCGGCGTTCGATTCCCGATGTGGTTGTGCACCGTTCCTTCTCTGCGTCCTATCCCAGCTCCTTGTCTTCATATCCCAGCTCCTTACCCGTATATCCCAGCTCCTTATCTTTATATCCCAGCTCCTTATCTTCATATCCCAGCTCCTTATCCGTATATTCCTTCCAAGCGCTATATAGTCTCACTGGCTTAACGCTTTCTCCTGACAATTGCTTTGTCAGGAGAAACCGAATAAATAAAGACCCGCAACTTCTACAGTGGGGTAGTGGTCACCCCGCGCCTCGCCAGGGATTTGGTGTGGTTTCGAGCCCTGGCCGGGGAAGGATTGACTTGGCACCAATCCTTAACGGTACGCCTCTGTTCACCCAGCAGTAATCGAGTACCTGGTTGTAAACCGCTTGGCCGGTCGTGTTTCAGGGGGAAGTAGTAGAGAAGGTTTACCATGAGCTATGGGATGGGAGAGCTCTCACTCAGCCTGATAACTGGTGTCAGAAGTCGTCCACTCCTGTATCTACCTGTTTAAATAAATAAATGAAAAGAGGTATATTTTCTCTCTCTCTCTCTCTCTCTCTCTCTCTCTCTCTCTCTCTCTCTCTCTCTCTCTCTCTCTCTCTCTCTCTCTCTCTCTCTCTCTCTCTCTCTCTCTCTCTCTGACTAAACAGTAAGACCCATGCCTCTCACTAGGACACACAATGCACACCTCTTCAACGCCAAGACACACATTGCACTTGCAACCAAATGTGCTGGAACGGATTGTATAAAAATGACATCGTGTTGTATAAATCTGGTTATCGTGTTTCATATCAACAAAAACATTGTGTTGTATCAACGAAAGAAAACGGGATGCAGGTATCACTCCGCAGTTATTATAATCCAGAAAACACATGCACCCCCACCCCTACACACACAGAGGTTCAGAGGGGTTAAAAGGTTCAGAGGTTTGCAACGAGACTCGTTCCAGAGCTACGAGGGATGGGGTATGAGGAGCGCCTGAGGGAACTGTGCCTTACGACACTAGAAAGAAGAAGGGAGAGGGGGGACATGATAGGAACGTATAAAATACTCAGAGGGATTGACAGAGTGGACATAGACGAAATGTTCACACGGAATAGTAACAGAACGAGGGGACATGGATGGAAGCTTGAAACTCAGATGAGTCACAGAGATGTTAGGAAGTTTTCTTTTAGCGTGAGAGTAGTGGGAAAATGGAATGCACTTCAGGAACAGGTTGTGGAAGCAAATACTATTCATAATTTTAAAACCAGGTATGATAGGGAAATGGGACAGGAGTCATTGCTGTAAACAACCGATGCTCGAAAGGCGGGATCCAAGAGTCAATGCTCGATCCTGCAGACACAACTAGGTGAGTATACACACACACACACACACACACACACACACACACACACACACACACACACACACACACACACACCAGGAAAGCCACACAGCTCACACTGTGTAAATAACGAACTCGGAAGACTTTCATTGTGACCACAAGAGGATCAAGAGTCCATCACAATATGTATTTAAGAGACGCCGGGTCTTACAACACGACACCAGATGCGATTTCTTCCGTGTACCTCGTCTCTTTGGTGATTTTTTTCCCCACTACGATGCTGATTAATTAAGGTTTATTGGTTTGAGTTTTAAAAACTATTGCGCCTGTGTGCTACTATCTGCTTTCACATACGTGAGGGAAAATATATATATGGGATGCATACACGAGGGATGTATATACACATGGGAATGTATACTCTCATTCGTACTTGCGAATATGTACAGGCGACACACACACACACACACACACACACACACACACACACACACACACACACACACACACACACACCACCCGCGCGCGCGCGACCCTAAACGAGTCTCAATACTCCTTTGCTCCAAATGGAAACGGGCGCTTCCATTAAATCTTTCGCCGGTCTGGATAAAAAACATACAAATTGATCTGGAAATTAATCGGATCCTTCCAAATTGAAAACATGCCAGACACTTATTTTTACCAGTGGATCGGGACGATTGTGGTTGACGGTAGGAGCCCCCAGTCACCCCAAGATCATCAACCAGTGCTGAAGCGGGGACTACAAGAGGTAACTCCGGAATAGAGTGAAGGGAAGGGATACACGATACAATACCAATGGGTAGGGGAGAGAGAGGGAGTAGAATGAGGTTGTGGGTATACATGGATTGGGTGGAGACTGGTCAGAGAATGGAAGGGAATGGAAATAGAGGGAGGGGGAAGAGGATGAGGGCTTGTGTGAAGAGGGAGGGGATGGAGGGTTGGAAGGGAACGTCGCAAGAGATAAAGTTTAGGAAGGGAGGAAGGGGGAATGTACCAGTGTGTAAGGAAAAACAGAGGAGCGTGCTGATAAGTGAATGAGGGAAGAGAGAGAGAAAGAAGAATTATTGATAGAGAGGGTGGGAAGGAAGAAGATATACAGATGAGAGAGAGAGAGAGAGAGAGAGAGAGAGAGAGAGAGAGAGAGAGAGGAGAGGGTGGAAGGCCCTGAGATTAGAAGACACAAACGGAGGAAATTAAGGAATAGGGGAGCGGGAGAAGAGGATTCAGTGTAGATTAAAGGAAGGAAGATTGGGGAAAGAGATAAATAAGAAACTTAAAGGAAGAGGAAGACGGATGATAGGAGGAAGAGGTAAGAAGACCGACTAGATAACTATAGGAGGAAGAGGCAAGAAGACCGACTAGATAACTAAAGAAAGAATAAGACGGGGGAACAATGCACTCACAGGAGCAACGAAGACCTTGGAAAAATAGTCTGAGATAATTTAAAGGAAATTATCACAGTATTCAGGGCAAATAAAGTGAATATTTAACTTTAATAAAAGATATATCTAAAGTCAATAAAGGTAGTATTCAAGGGAGTAATAAAATGAGTCTATAAAGATAAAAAAAAACTGTTGTTATAAACGAAGAATTTAATGGTAATTTTAGAAAGTTTTTATAAAATTTCAAGAGGAAAAAGGAGAATTTAAAGAACTTTCACTCAGTAAATAAATTTGGAAGAAAATAGAACGTGTAGAAGATAGGTAGCGTGGATGATACGTGGGTTGTGTGGATGGTAGGTGGGTTGTGTGGGTACAAGGTGGATTGTGTGGATGATACGTGGGTTGTGTTGGTGGTAGATGGGTTGTTTTAATGTTAAATGGGTTGTGTGGATGGTAAATGAATTGTGTGGGTAATAGATGGATTATATGGATGATATGTGGGTTATGTTGTTGGTAGGTTGTGAGGATGAGTGAGTGAGTGAGTTAGTGGGGATGGAAAGGCTATAGGTGTGGTTTAAGTTTCCTGATTTAGGTGGGAGGTGGCGTAAGTGGGAGGGGATGTGGATGGTAGGTGGTATATATATATATATGAAGGGATTTACTTGGATTCGGGTACAGAAGAGATGACACAGTTTTGTTGGTATAGCTGGGAAGGTATAGCTTGAAGGTGGTATACATGTGCTAGTATAGAAGATGGGAAAGGTGGGCAGGTGTAGACAGGAGATGGGAAAGGTGGGCAGGTGTAGACAGGAGATGGGAAAGGAGTCTCACATACACAGGTTGGTGGTATAGGTTACCTGGTGTAGACGGGACCGGGTATTTTCATCCCATCCAGTTCCTCTAATGGTTTCTTTATTTTCTCCTGGAGTTAATACCATTACGGAGAGCGTTCTCTCTGGTGGTGTCCATTCAACTACAAGTCCTTCAACCTAGAGGCAGGTCACGTTATAAATTATAAAAACATGGAAGCTTTTATTATGTTCTTTGCATACATTCTTATTATTTCATCTGTACTCTTGGTCTCATTTGTGTAGCCAAGGCACTTGATCGTTGACAGACATCTGCTTTCGATTGTCTGTCTCGTAATTCTAATTCTCTGACCTTTTGTTGTTCCCATTTTATGGCATGCTAGCCTTCCATGATATCCTTTTTTGTGTTTTCCCAGCCATCATTGTCACCACAAATACGGGGAGTAATACATTGTCATTACTAGTGCTTATTGGAGTTGAACAGCCAATGCTGCTTACGTTCATTTTATTCAGTCTAGCTGATTAATAATCTTGTGTTTTCCTTTTTCCTCTCCTGACATGCTGAATCAAGAAATTCCTCTCTGTGGTTTCTATAAGCTTTGCTCTCCATGTTTCTCTTTGGATACATTGTTATGTATAGTCATTTTGTCCACGGTTGAAGTCTCCTATTACTAGTAACTTTGTTGTTAATCTGCGGGTTGACTCTGCAACCACTCACCCCGTCCTCCTGTCATTTTCCCAGGGCTGTAAATCATAGCCACGACTACTTTAACTCTCCTTAAACCAAAATGATTCTCACGACCACACAACACAGTCTTTCTAGCTACTCGACTCCTTCAGAGAGATTTCTTCAAGAATCCAGTTTCTTTTTACCAAGAATGCCACACCACCTCCGCCCCTCTGAAATCTTTCTATCTGAACCAATACAGAAAATAAGACCAATAACATACGAATAAAAGGACAAATACATCGAGCAAATGTACTTGTGGTACACATACATATTAAACATATGTATAGACGTATATATTAATCCACTGCATCTGCCTAATATACATATCTCGACGCCCAGTTTTGTCCAGAGTACCTCGTGCCGGTGATGTATGTGAAGCAGATCGGGAATTAGCGGGATATCGGGGAGATTAGCGGAGAGTTTATTGGAAACCGAAGGTTATGGCTTCTTCTGTCTGACAGCTGTTGCCGCACTTACTCGCGACCAGCCGGGCTCCGTTCATCTTCCCGACTACCGGGCATACGGTACGCTTCCAGTCAGTGTTGTCCGGGCATACGGTACGCTTCCAGTCGGTGTTGTCCGGGCATACGGTACGCTTCCAGTCAGTGTTGTCCGGGCATACGGTACGCTTCGAGTCGGTGTTGTCCGGGCATACGGTACGCTTCCAGTCAGTGTTGTCCGGGCATACGGTACGCTTCCAGTCGGTGTTGTCCGGGCATACGGTACGCTTCCTGTCGGTGTTGTCCGGCATACGGTACGCTTCGAGTCGGTGTTGTCCGGGCATACGTACGCTTCGAGTCGGTGTTGTCCGGGCATACGGTACGCTTCCAGTCGGGTGTTGTCCGGGCATACGGTACGATTCCAGTCGGTGTTGTCCGGGCATACGGTACGCTTCCAGTCGGTGTTGTCCGGGCATACGGTACGCTTCCAGTCGTGTTGTCCGGGCATACGGTACGCTTCCAGTCGGTGTTGTCCGGGCAGGTACGCTTCCAGTCGGTGTTGTCCGGGCATACGGTACGCTTCCAGTCGGTGTTGTCCGGGCATACGGTACGCTTCCAGTCGGTGTTGTCCGGGCATACGGTACGCTTCGAGTCTCTATGATGACTTAGTTTATCCTGTTGTTTATAATAATTAATTCTCTATTTAAATTTATATTACTTTTTAGGAGTCAAATTTGATCAGTTTAGTACTGAAAATAACAGAATATTTGAGGATTAGAATTGTAATTAGAAAACGCAAACAGTAGAAGCACCAGACCTTGGCTTAAACATAATGGTTTAAAATAATCTATATCTGTAAGAGAGACGATGGCTGTCTGTCCGTCTGTCTGTGTCTGTCCGTCTGTCTATCTGTTCGAGGTTGGAGGCCAGACGGTTGCAGGATATCATGAGTTTCCTCGTGATATCCTGGGTATGATTACGGGCACGAATAGCCCGTAAGGGAAAACTAAGGTCAACTCTCAGTGTGTATTTACAACCAGAAGCTGGTTTACACGTCTCCCTGTGTATAGCTGTGTGGTGGCGGGGTGAGGAAGAACATGATGGGTTGAGCTCTTAAGAGGCGTAAACTAAGTGGTAAACCAACGAGGTGCCTCGTTGATATACCACTTACGGGCTATTCATGCCCGTACCACCTCTTGGGTGGCTTAATCAATCCATCAATCGTCGTTGGTTGTTTCAACTACACAACTCTGCATTCGGCCGTAAGTTGTGCAAAGACGTATATTTCGACGTAGTTGTTGTTGACGAGTTCTATACAGGAAAATTTGACGTATTTGTTGAATTCTAGTAAGATGTATTGGACGTAGTGAAAGCTTGGTAAAGTAGATTTGACGTTCATGTTATTGAGCTTAAAAAAAAAAAAGTGCATCTGACGCTCCAGAAAAACTTAGTCTGCGTAGACATTGAGATACAACAAATAAACTCGCTCTGCGTTCTCGGTTCAATTCCACGTTTCTACGCGTTCTGCTGTAATTGGACTACGAGCAGACAAACAATATTAAATCAGCTGCTAAAATGCGGCTAAAAACCTTTCTTTGATGGAGTCATATTCACCGTTGAAGCACCCCGGCTCGGCCACCACAGCTCAGTGGGTCAGTCCGGGGGACCTGACATCATATTGGCTCTTGGTAATTTGATTTTTACCACAGTGACAGTGGCTAACCGAAGTATTGCTGGATATTTTGTGCAACTGAAAATTCAATATGAATTGCTGCATAGTTAAAGGACCTGCACACAAACACACACACACACACACACACACACACACACACACACACACACACACACACACACACACACACTGGAGTCCATGCCTAGTTAAACACAAGACAAAGTTAAAGGAGATTCAGCGGTATGCCACCAGGTTCGTCCCGGAACTGAGAGGAATGAGCTACGAGGAAAGGCTAAAGGAGCTGAACCTCACATCCCTGGAAAACAGAACAGTAAGGGGAGACATGATAACCACCTACAAAATTCTCAGGGGAATTGACAGGGTGGACAAAGACAAACTCTTCAGAACGGGTGGGACGCGAACAAGGGGACACAGGAGGAAACTTAGTACCCAGATGAGCCACAGAGACGTTAGAAAGAACTTTGTTCAATGTCTGAGTAGTTAAGAAATGGAATGCACTAGGAAGTGATGTGGTGGAGGCTGACTCCATACACAGTTTCAAATATGGGTATAATAGAGCCCAATAGGCTCAGGAATCTGTACATCTGTTGCTTGACGGTTGAGAGGCGGGACCAAAGAGACAAAGCTCAACCCCCGCAAGCACAACTAGGTGAGTATGACTAGGTGAGTACATACACACAACCACACACCTACCTGATCGGCCTGATAGCCGAGTGGACAGCGCTCTGGACTCGTAAACCTAACTGTGTCCCGGGTTCGATCCCAGGTGATGGCAGAAACAAAATGGGCAGCGTTTCTTTCATCCTGATGCCCCTGTTACTTAGCAGTAAATAGGTACCTGGGACTTTGACAGCTGCTACGGGCTGCTTCCTCTGTGTGTGTGTGTGTGTGTGTGTGTGTGTGTGTGTGTGTGTGTGTGTGTGTGTGTGTGTGTGTGTGTGTGGAATTTAACACAGCTTGGTATTACAAATGCTAATTTTCGTATGGATATTTTCCACTCTATATAAATACCTTCTACAAATTAGAGAACGAAGAAACACTTGATTACTTCGACTATTTAGCTTGATACAAACTTACGTCAAGAACTAAACATCTTCAGAGATATACACATGGCACAGAGAACAGGAGTATATTAGGTATACAAATGAGTATATGCAAGAACATACATATAGAACAGCCCCCCCCCCCCCGGGACCTCCAGAAATCTCCCAATCTTGAACTAGCTGAATGTGCGCTTAACGATACTGTTGGTGCTATGCTCATGAGACGCGCTGAAACCCTATGTGTTTATGGCTCCAAATGAGTGTTGTCGTTGTTATAGATTTCAGCTACTCGGAACAGGTTCCAAGTAGCACGGGCTATGGTGAGCCCGGTAGTGGACTTACCTGGCACAGGAGCGGGGCTGTGTGCATATGAGTGGTGTTCTATGAAATAAATACATAACCTACTCCCGAGAGGGAAGGGAACTATCAGAGGGAAAGTGCCAAGCCATTACGACTATATAGCACTTGGAAGGGGTCAGGATAAGGATTTGGGATGGGACGGGGGAAAGGAATGGTGGCCAACCACTTGGACGGTCGGGAGATTGAACGCCGACCTGCATGAAGCGAGACCGTCGCTCTACCGTCCAGCCCAAGTGGTTGGGCCCTACTCCCGGAAGTAAACATTTGTTACGCAAATGTCTTAGTAACTTTATACAATAAAATAGAAAGAAACGTGAGTGATTTAGCCTAAATAAGCTTTGTCCTCAATGGGTCACTAGGCCTCTGCCAGGCCTACCCATTCTTCTTATGTTCGTCTGTGGCTGCGTGGAGACAGGAGATTTACATATAGGTAGGCAGAGCAACTTGTGTACAGCGAGATTTAAAGACTGACAAACGACGACTGACATGTAGACAGACAGCATGTCAGAAAATGACAGACAAGCAGAAAGGTAAACAAGAGGTTGAAAGGAGGGGTAAAAAAAAATATATCTATAAACAATGCTCTCAGTTTTAAAATCATTTTAAAATATTATTATTAATTTTCTCTCGGTAATTTCAACATTGTCTAAGGACGAGCTACAAAAATTGCCAATTAATGGCACTGGGCTCTGTGTATAAATTGTACAATATCCTGAAAAGATTAAGCGCATTAGCGTTTAATCAGAGAAACGCAATAATTAATAAAATTTTCAGGAGTGTATAATCTTCTCATTAAACTTGATTGCAATTTTAAATAGAAAAAGACCCACTGCATTCCGCAATTTGCAATTGAAATTCCAGAAAGCTGAAAATATTATTGTGAAGGAATCCAATCCTCCTACGTGGAATCGGATCCTCCTAGATGGAATTGGATCCTCCTAGATGGAATCGGATCCTCCTATATGGATTCTGATCCGACTAGATGGAATTGAAACCTTCTAGTTGGAACCGGATGACCCTAGATGGCATCCGATTCTCCTAAATGATATCGGATATTCCTAGAGAGAGAGAGAGAGAGAGAGAGAGAGGCTACGTCAAGTCCCGTATGTTCTGTAGATTGCACCATTTAACAATATACAAGTATTAATTTTATATAAATTTCGGATAATGCTTAATATTGGAGGGTTATTTATGAGAGCCGAGTTTAACTTGAAGAGTTAGTCTCCACCGAATCTTCTTTCAGTTTGAGCACTAATTTATTAGATGGTTAGAATCTCTAACAAAGACAGAAGATAACTTCGTGTCAACAATGCAAAAACTTATTTTTTTGTTCGTTCATCGTTAATATCCCCCGTTAACATTCCCTGTTTACGCACCTCACTTTTATTCTACACCGACTTTAACATCTGGAGTTGTTTTCTTTGTTAATGGTTCACTCAGTTTAACAGGGCTTGAGCCTGTGCTTGAGAGAACAGTGGTGAGTGAGATATATATATATATATATATATATATATATATATATATATATATATATATATATATATATTCGTTTGCCTTGTTCGGGTTGAATGTAGACACAGTAGTCGCTTCTGTATATATTTATTGAGTGAGGCAAACAGGTGTATAACTGGCCAGCCGAGGTCCACCTACTCTGGGTCTGTGAGGATAACTGAGGCTGCTGGGAGCATCGCTGATGCTCCTCTGTCTGGCATGACGTCAGAGGCCTACTTGCCTGTGATTGGTTACATTTCAACTGACAGAATTTTGAGTATAACACCGCTCGGACACGCTACCAAGTCGACGTCCCTTGTCGACAAGCTCTGGCTAGCTATATAGTTACAATGATACTGAAAGGACCTCGGTGGCATTCAATAATGGCTTACATGTGAAATTTGCATAATAAAACATTGAAAGAAGATCAGGTGTGCGTAATACTAACAACTCGGCATATATGCACCAAAAAAAAATTCATCATAATAGGTGAAAATCATGGTAACAATTCTTTGATTAAACCAGAGTATTAAGAACATGTGTATGTCTACTGATCAGATATGAACAATACAACTCAAGGTATTGCCTAAACAAAATTATTAACATGTGTCAATGGCATGTGCTTGAAAACCATACAAAATTAAACAATTATTACATTAATGGAACAAAGTTCTGACCTAACAACCACAATTGAATTTCAAGATAGATAATGATTTTTTTTTTTTTTTTCTTTTTTTTTTTTTTTTTGAAATAATACAATATATTTACAAGACCAATGTACAATATATATAATGTGCAATATATTTACAAGCATATACAAGACCTGGATCAAGAAGACTAACATCTGCGTGATAGCAGTCAGGATTCACTGGCCACAATGTGGTTGCTAGAACAATAATAACTCTTATGACAAGCACTGTAAAAATACAAATGGTAGTAGACTTAACAATGGCATCTAATTTATAACAAAATAAAGTTGAGAAAAACTATACATTATATATAATGGTAATAATAAGACACATGTGGTAGAAATACTGCAAATGATTTTTT